GGGAAATGTTAATTTTTTCATAAGAAAATGTAAAGCATGTTTGATGCTTTCCCAAAGGAATTGATGCAGACTTTGAAGCTTGGAAGGTTAAACTGTTGAAAATAATCATCCCAGTAGCAAAAGGACTCGCAGAACCAAAGCCAATTAATATCAAGGCACCTTGCGAATGTAGTAAAGATAAAGGGTGCTGTGATAAGAAAAAGAACAAGAATCCAGAGGAGGGACAGGGTGATGCACAAGAAGAAGTAAGGACTTTTATGGAATTTCAGTCAATTAGTCAATCAATCAATCATTCCATCATTCATTTCATATATATGGCAACATTCATTAGTTCATTCTTAAAGTTTACCCACAAATTCAGGGAAAATCCTCTACAAAAATTGAAGTTCACCCTTTTTATGCTAATATTTTCTCCAATTGGTAGATATTGCTATATTTGATTTTAGGTCCCATTTGAGAGCTCAAGTGATGATGAGGATGGAGAAGATAAAGAAGGTGAATCTGTACTGGATCTAGAAGATCTTGGAATAGTCATGAAGAAACTCAAAAAAGCTAAAGTAAGTTTGGGATGAAGATGTTGATGATAATGGCAATTATTATGGTGTGGTTGTTGTATGTGGTGATAATGTTTGTGGTGGTGGTAATAATAATGGAGGAGAGATTCATGCAGATGTGGTAGTGGTAGGTGTGATGATGTAGGTGGTGATGGTGATGATGTAGGTAGTGATGGTGATGATGTACGTGGTGATGGGGATGATGTACGTGGTGATGGTGATGATGTACGTGGTGATGGTGATGATGTAGGTGGTGATGGTGATGATGTACGTGGTGATGGTGATGATGTAGGTAGTGATGGTGATGATGTACGTGGTGATGGGAAAGATGTACGTGGTGATGGTGATGATGTAGGTGGTGATGGTGATGATGTAGGTGGTGATGGTGATGATGTACGTGGTGATGGTGATGATGTACGTGGTGATGGTGATGATGTACGTGGTGATGGTGATGATGTACGTGGTGATGATGTACGTGTACGTGGTGATGGTGATGATGTACGTGGTGATGGTGATGATGTGCGTGGTGATGTTGATGATGTGCGTGGTGATGGTGATGATGTGCGTGGTGATGGTGATGTAGGTGGTGATGTTGATGATGTGCGTGGTGATGGTGATGATGTGCGTGGTGATGGTGATGTAGGTGGTGATGGTGATGATGTACGTGGAGATGGTGATGATGTAGGTGGTGATGGTGATGATGTAGGTGGGGATAGTGATGTAGTTGGTGATAGTGATGTAGTTGGTGATAGTGATGAAGTACAGTAGGTGGTGATTGTGATGATATATATGGTGATGGTGGCATTGTAGGTAGGGATGATGACGGTTGTAGTAATCAATCCATTAAACTTAATACAAACATAAAATTTTACATTGTTGATGACTTGCAGAACATTCTTTTCTTTATTCTTAGGATGACAGGGAACAGGAGAAAAAGGCTTCTGATGGGCCAAAAGAAATGATAACACCATTATTACGCAAATCTTTATCTAAACAAGGTAACATATTTAATTTATATTCATTTAAACTTTATCCAAGTTTTCCTAAAATATCAGCATGGTAAAACATTTCTTAGTTGATAATTAATATTTAAAATGTTCCATACAGCAACTTGAGTCATGTCTAATGGCTAA